AGCGGAGATGAATGGGAGGGGTCCCAGGCACAGCGGAGATGAATGGGAGGGGTCCCAGGCACAGCGGAGATGAATGGGAGGGGTCCCAGGCACAGTTGGGCGGGGGATGAGGTTGTCCATCAGCACTAAGGGACCGCTCAGGAGTGGGAAATTAATGGAGGGAGGCCCCGTTAGTTCCGCTCGGCTGTGACTAAGTAGACTGCCCCGATGCCTGGGATGAGGAACAGCCTAGGGAGGGCCAGGGTGGTGAAGAGGACCACAGGGAGGCCTGCAGGCAAGAGAAACTAGTACCGGCTTTTGACCAGAGGGTGCTAGGTGACTAACTTAGTAATCAGAGACCTAAGGATTAGAGATAGGGCAGCGGGCAGGTCTGGCGCTTGTTCTAACCTGAAGATGCCACCTACCGAGGGCTGTGTTCCAGGCGATCTCCACACCTGGCTCTACAGAAGAACTGAGAATTGAGGTCCAGCGTGCCAACACCTCTCCCACCCACCACCCACCCCCATTTCCCATTATTAACGTCCGTCATTTTTATGCCTCCTTAGTGATAACTGATGGGCCAGGTGCAGCACCCCAGGGGAGTCTGGGAAGACAGAGCACCGCACCTCTCAGGGAGCAAGAGAAAGACCCCAAGGCCACCGTGGGGTGGGGGTAAAGGTGACACAGGAAGTTGGAGAGGCCAGCAGGAAGTAGCTAGCAGCCAGGTCCCAGGGGTTACAGAGACCAAGTCTCTCCTGTTAGTGTTTTCTCCAAGCCTCAGGCCCTGGCCTCAGGAGCTCCCACTCCATCCCCCCCCACACCACAGGCCACTCTCCCGCCCCCGCCAGCCTCCTCCTCATCTATCCCTGCCAGGCCTGCGCAGCAGCTCCGACAGCCCTCATCAATCAGTCCTTCCTGCTCTTTTTATCACTTGGTTGTGCTTCCCAAGGCACGTGGTTCTCTATGGGCAGCCAGTGGGGTTGTGGCCCCCGTGCCTTATCCCTTCCAGGGTGGAGTTCCAGGCTCTGCACCTGAGCAGCGATTCTCTTTGCTCTGCCCTGATTGGGCCTGGCCATCTGCTCTTCTGCCATTGATTATCTGAAGACCAGTAGCCAGGCCCCTGCCTCCTGGCGATTGTGGGTAGCCATCCCCTGCCTCTTCCCAGGTCCAGGATGATTGTCTCTAAGAGGATCCCCCAAGGTCTAGGATGATTGTCTCTAAGAGCATCCCGCAAACATCTTAATTGTCCCAGCTGTCTGTCACCCAGATCTACCTAGAGGTGGAGCAGCCGCCAAGGGCCCAGAGCTTGGCGTGGTGGTTTTGTGGGACTTTTCCCAGTGTCCTTCATCCTTCCTTCCAAAGCTGTGAGAGCAGGTAGTAGGAGGCAAGAGGTTCAAAGGTGAAAGTCCTTGACCCAGATGGTCACGTCACTGTATTTTTTTGTTTTGTGGTCCCTTATGCTTCTGAGACCTTAGGTCCTTTGCTGTTTTATATTCACTCGTGTGGTTACTGGAATCAGGGTCTCTCCCTCCCGACTGTAACCTCCATGAGAACAGGCATTCAAGACTGCTCAGCCTATTACTGCCGCCCAGTGCCTTGCCCCGTGATACGCGCTGGAGGCTGATATGTGTTAGAGCTCGTACACATTAGACACTCGATACATCTTAAGTTATTGAAGAGTAAGTTATAGGTGGAGCATTCATCCATCCATCCATCCATCCATCCATCCATCCATCCATCCATCCCTTCATCCATCCCTCCATCCCTCCATCCATCCATTTAGCAGTGGTTGAGCTGCAGGCTCTGTGATGGGGCCTGGGATAAAAGGATAAATCAGATGTAGGCTCTGCCCTTAACGAAATCAATCTGGTGGGGAAGATAGACTTGCAAATTAAAAATTACACCACGACAGGGGAAATGCCAGTGTGGTGCCATGTACCAGGTGCTGTGTCAGAGAGGAGGCCATCAGCCCTGACTCAGGGGACAGGACTGAGGAGCGGCAGTATGCTTTCCTGGAGGGTTGGTGTGGCCAGGAAGAGGGAAGGGCCTTCCTAGACTAAGGGGTGTAACTGCAGAAGAGGCCTCCTGTGTACAGGGAGCCATCAGAGGCCCAGTTTTGTCCCTGCACCACAGAGGAGCCAGCTGGTTCCCATGGGTACCCTCAGGCTCCGGGATGAGGAGGACCACATCTGGGGCTGATCCAGGTATGAAGACTTCCCCTTCCTGTCATTCAACTTGATGGGCTGCCAGCAATCTCTCCTGCCAATTTAAAACGACCTTATGAGATTTCTTGAGCCCAAATACCACCCATCTCGTCTGCTCACTGCGCTCTCTCATCTTAGAATTCCACTCAAGACATCATCAAGTTGTGGGTCACAGCTGTCTGCAGGCAATTTCATGCACTTTCTGAGAGCTGTGTTTTCTTCACGCCTGTTGTCTGCTTTTAAAGATTGTGTGTGTCTGGTGTATCGATGTGTGTTTGTGTGTGTGTCTCTGTGTGTGTGCCTGTGTGTTTGTGTCTCTGTGTGTGTCTCTGTGTGTGTATCTATGTGTTTGTGTAGTGAGTGTCTGGAGGGGTGGGGATGCTCGTACCTTTGGGCACAGAGGCCAGAAGAGTGTCAAATCCCTCAGAGCTGGAGTTCCAGACATTTTGCAGGGCATCTGGTTTGTTATGTGGGTACTGGCACCCGAACTCTGGTCCTTAGAACTGAGCAGCAAGCACTTTCAATGGCTGAGTCATCTCTGGTCCCCCTTCCTCTCTGTCAGGGACTCAGCATCATCTGATGCGCGTACCTTTCCTGTGTGCTGTTGTGGAGGCTGAAGGTGAGACATGCAGACACCCAGGTGTGTACTAAATGAAGCGAGGCTGTGGACTGTGGGCGACTCCAGAGAAATAGCCTTGAGCAGAAAGAAGTACCAGTGGGAAAAAATAACGTCTCCTTTCTGTGTGGGGATGAGCAGGGGCCTAAAGGTAATAACTCAGGAGATGTACATTGGGCTTGCAATGGAAAAGGGTCCCACAATACAGTGACAAATGTCACTCAGATGTGGTATGAGCTCAGCA